CCCAGTTGGAATTGAACTGGCAACCTTGCGAATGCGACCTGGGAGTGCTAACCACTGCACTACTGACCCGCAGGTCAAAATATACTATTTTTAATAGAGGTTCTAAAAAAAAAACTTTCTTCTACTACTTGCTGCCATTCTTGAATATGATTAATATTATAATACACAGACTGATTTATCTGCAGTTGCTGTTTTCCTAACATAATAGGTGTTAAAAGTTTTTAATTATATTATCAATCTTTCTAAAAAGTCTTGTATTCAATATTGGTAATCTAACAGTTAGCAATGTACTATGTTCGATCTTAAATTTTTTAAATTGTTTCTTACTTTTAACATAATTAGTAATGTTTACTAGCAAATCACATAATAAGATAGTCTGGTTGACTTTTTTATATATTTGTTTGTTGATTGATTCAATTCTTTGGATGCTTTAAATACCAGCTGTAAATTCATTACATATCTAGAGCACACCCCATGCCTTTTTATTAGAATAAAGTGTTTCTAACATATATTTCACCATTGTTGAGTATTTATCAATTAAATGGAGCCACTGAGTTTTGAATAATTTATTATATAAAGAATTCTAGCATATATAAAATTTTTTTCTAAACTCTCCAAACTGAGATTCTAGTTTACTTGTAAGTTTTTTGTGAAGATTAATGTCAATATAAAGATACATAATATATAGTTTGTATTGAAATATGTCTCTTTAATAGCACTAATTAAGAATAAGTCAAAATTAGTAAAAATAACCTTAGGATTGACTCCTGTTTCTTTGAATATTGTTATGAAGATCTATCAAAAAGTATTAAGAGATTTATTATTAATAATTACAGAAACAACAATTCTAGATTTGAAATAGTTGTTAATAATAACAATAATACAAAGCATTATTTTAAATCTATTTGTATTTGATGTGATATCCAAAATTACAACATCATAAAAATTTTTATTTAAGGAACATTGTGATAATAATATTTACAATAATCTATTCAATCTTCGAGAAAAGAGATCTAAATAGTGTTTAATTATCTATGAAAGATCTGATTCTTTCTAATTCATTAATGTTTGAAACATCTGAAATGCATCAGAATCACCTAGATTATTTTCAGCTTAAAAATAATATACTGTATTATAAGGATTTTTCTTAAAATGCCAAGAGCACTTTGTTTGCTATAAAAATGCATTGCACTGCTTAGTTGAATCTGAAATCACTAGAGAATGATGTGTATCTGATCTTGAACATTCATATATAGTATAATAAGCTATTTTATCATCCATCTAACTAGTTCTAATTCAATAGTTAAATCTTTTTTTTTAGTAAACAATCTATTCAGGCTTTAAATTCTATCCAACTTTCAAATATGAGCCCAACCTTTAATTTCAATACATTATTTTGGCTTTTAATTCCTTCTGAATCTTCAAAATCAATATTAATAAGTTCACTGTCTTGACTATTATTATTAGAATCATCTAGCTAAAAAAAGTTATATATACATATAAGAAATGGATTAGTATTATGAATATTAATCAAAGAACAATAAAAACAAGTAAGATATACTAAAGATAGAGAAGAACTATTAGTTGTGCCTAAACATTCTGGATCAACATTGAAAAAAACTAATAGAAATAGTAAAACAAAAATGTTACTGCAATGGCTACAATTATTATAGTTTGTGTATAATGTACATATTAATGTTCAAAATACTTGCTTGTTGTATTTTGGTTCTTCATATTTTTACTATAATAAACTTTTATGTTAAGTGAAAACATAGGAAAAATAATCACATAATTTTTAGGTTACAAGCTAAGAAAGTATTTTAATAATCATTTTGTATTTGTTAACATTAATAACTTTCATTTTCCTATATCATAAAAAAAACATTTTACTTGTTTAACTAAACATTTTCTTTATATTTTATTAAAGTTTCTAAGTAAGTATATATATAAAAAATACATAGTTAAGTTTTAACTAAAAGATGCAAAAAAGATACTCTATAATCTCTATATTATAAGCTTCTTATTCATCCAAATAAAGTATCTGATAAAATTTTCAAGTAAAAGGAAACAAAGAAAACAAAAAAAAAAATATATAACTTTCAAATAAGAGAAAATTAATCACTACTATGATTACTTATCTATTTATTGTTATTAAAACAATTACAATCACATACATATGCATAACTAATGTCAGAGTAAAATCAACATATGCTGTACAATGATAAAATTTAATATTAGAAGTAAAATTAATATATTTATATAACTATAATGATTACTATATATAGGATATATATATATATAGTGTATTTTCAGAAATTTTTTTAATAATATTATAATTTTTTAAAAATAAATAAAAAGTTAACAAGTAATAGAAAAATACAAATTAAAAAATTTAAATAAAAAATTTATAAGCAAATGTTAAGTATAATATATAGAAAGAAGTTAATAGAAAAGTAACAAATTTTTTCTAAGTAAAAGTTTTCTTAACTTTAAGCTTAAATATCTTAATAACTATTTTATTAAATTTGATAATTTTTTATTTATTGTCTGAAGCATAGCAAAGAACTTTCTATAGATAAACAAGTATCAAAAAATATCTTGGGTTCTACTCATATGATATATATCCAATCAAAGTTTAAACTAATATAACAGATTGATACAAATCAGCCTAACAAAATGAAAAATCTTGTAAAATTAAATGCTTCAAACACTAATAACATCTGTTTTCCTAGTTTTAATTCTATATAATTTCAAAATTAAAATAAAAAAATTTTTAGCAAATTTAATTAAATAGTTGTTAAGTTATTTAAATTTAAAAATTAAAAAAATTTTATTAAAAATGATTTGTTCTTTTTATATTAACTTACCTCCATATAATAGCTAATTATAATAGTATAACAGAACCTTTAAATGACCAATAATTAAGGTTATATATATAACTATATGTATTCTTATTCATGAAATAAAAATTACTTATGTAAAGAATTTTTAAATATAAGTTTATCTGAAATAAAATATGTTAAACTTCTAAAAAGTCACTTATATATATTCAAGCTAAATAATAAAATAAACCAATAAGACATAACCTCACCTTTAATATTTTTAAAAAAATAAATAAATAAAATAAATAAACCATTCTGTTTACTTTTTATAGTATTTTTGTTTGGTATAATAAAAAGGTCTGAATTGTAAAATTATTAAATTTTAACCATATATAGTATAATATAGATTTTTTCCTAATTTGAAGTTTTTATTATAGTGAGTTATAATTATGTTGTATTTTTATATATAAGATCATTTTTATTTGTTGTTGAAATATTGTATAAATAACAAATAAATAAAAGAAAAATATTGTATACAGGTAACTTTCTATAATGAACCGACAGTTCTTACAATAAAAATTTTTAAAAGTTCATTGTAGAAGTCTATACTGACTCTATACTAAATTTGTTAAAAAAAGATGACAATTTACATTGCATAAATAAGTCAAAATAAAATGAGATCATAAGGTCGAATTATTCGTAACCGTGCCCCGAGCGATCTGTATTGATCTTTACATTCTATACAATCCAGTACGAAATTATTTTTATCTATATTATCTTCATACTGTATCGTATTATTTCAAAATTTTATAAAATACAGTACTAAATTATATTCCGTACAGTATATTATGTATGTATATTCCAAAAATTCTTTGATTTAAAACATCCGTAAATTAACGTTGGGGATTAAAACCAAAAAATTAGATTAACTAAGATTTATTAAAAACTATAAGCATGATGATATAGTTTGCAAGTCAAAATTTTACTGAACTTAAGCGAAGTATATCGAAAATTGTTTCTAGCAACAATTAGATACAATTTTGTGCAAAATATATGTTGAATAAAATGTCTTCTAAGCAATGTCACTCAAAAATTTGAAGAACCTGGTCAAATTTCTTTTCAAATTCTTTCAATGTCAAAACTTCTACCTTTAATATTTAGAAAACGATATTAAAATACGAGGGATACGTTAACATATAAAAAACATTAAACTCCTTATATATTTACACCAGGAATTTGTGAATGAGGAAGTTGTATTTCATCTTCGTGGATAATAAGTACACAATGACGAGGAGGATTCTCATTTATCGCAATAACGCGATATGAAATTAATAAGGCCCAATAAAGCGTGTCAATTTCGTTATTACCGTGTCGTTGCTGTGACTGATTTAAAAAGTTAATCAGTACTATTCAAAAATGAATAGGTCAATGCCGATTTACCTGTTTCCATGAATCTTCTTCGAAGAACTTGATTTCTTCTGAATTAAGTTTTGCATTAAAAGTCCTACACATACAATAATTGTATTCAAATTTTATAAATAAACAATGTAAATAGTTAAAATAAATTAACATTTACCCGTAATTTTTATCCATTATTTTGTCAAGATGAGTTTTCATTTTTGGATTTAATAAAATTGTCCACTTTCCGCCATTCTAATAATTCATGAGAATACTTGGACAGTAAGTTAAGTTAAATCAATAAAAAATAAACATGTTTAACGAGTATATCTACGATTTGTGCAATTCTGAAGATTCTTTCTACAGATTGAGGTTCGGTCGTAATTACTTTTGTTGATACGGCCAAAAGGCCACCTGTAAAATATTTAACATTTTGTTAATACCATTTCAAAGATAGAAAAAATATTCTATACGAAACCTGGTATAAAATATGTTTCAAATTTTATTGGTCGTAATCTTTTTATATCATAACCGTAGATAAAAAATTGACATTTTTTCATATGCCTTAATCGAATTAAATTTGGCATAAAATTTAATTGATTCAGCAAGACAACTTCGACCTGTGTCGTAATTGAAGAGCGGATAAGATAATTATCATTATATTAAGTATTTAAATAAAATAAAATAAAAATAGAATATATACCAAAACAAGGTTTAAGGTCTCGTCACCAATCGAATCTATTGGAAAATATTTTCCGCTCAACGCTTTCATGCAAAAGATTATCGTTTTGTGATTTGAATGTTGTGTGTTCCCATATATAGTGAATTTTGGATTATTGGCACATATTCGTGGTAAGATATTGCCATAACCTTCTGCTTGTATCATAACTTCTGCCATAAAATAATCAATATCATCCATCTTTTCAATACCTAACGCAAGTTGCTTCGGTAAACTCATGCGATTCTTTTGTACTTTTTGTTCTGGTATATTGTAAGGAATGAGAAGCATACGCTCAGATGTCGGATTTAGTCCCATTTTGTTGCATAAATTTTCTGAATTAACTATTCCTAATAAACAAATCTTTTCGAATTCATACTCCTTCAAAAAGAAAACAGCGATCTAGAAATATCCACTATTATAAATAGCCTCACAATAAACAATATTAAAGATATAAATATATTAATATCGATGGTATACCAAATCATTTACCCTCAGCCGTCTTTGTTCTATGCCAAATGCATCATACGAATGTGGGTTCTTCTCCGACTCCATTGACAATATATTTTGCAGAACGTCGTCTTTAATAACAAATTGTAAAGCGTATGATGAAGGTATAACATTTATCATGCACATCTGATTCATATTTTTAAGGATAGTACTAAAGATATTTTAAGTTTGTTTTAAAATGAGAACTAATAAAAATATAATTCGTTTAATTAATTTAAAATAATACAATAGGTGCTCATCCTGGTAACTTTCAGGAACTTGCTTAATCACTACGTTCGCGATGAATTTATTGTTTTTCCCTTTGGTTAAAGGTCCTTTCCATTGCCTGTTGAAAATCAGATTAGTTTTATTGGTAAAAGTCCGCTCAACGAAGATACATTGCGCAATATACTTTAGTTCCGTAAGAGCATCATCTTCATCTATTTGCATTGGATCAGACGCGTCTATTGAAGGGTTATATAAATTGTTATAATAAGGAAAAAGAATTTTAAAACGTATAACAACCAATTTTTTTGTATTCTAACGCACCTGTTACTACTTTTTGAACTGCTTTGAGTATTGGCTTTGGTTTTGGATCAAGTTGCACTGGATTTAATGTACGCATTGTAGGTACTGTATCTGATTTTAAAAATTCTCGTGTGTTGGTAAGGTCAGTAGAGAATTTCACTGATTTTGAAGCCGAGCTCTATAAAATGATACTACAATAAAACTTTCTACTTTTTTTAACAGGCTTTAAGCATTATAATACAATATAAGAAAAATGTCTACTTCTTGAGCTTGTCTCTGTCTACATCTTTCAATCAATGCGTCGGCATTTCTGAGATTTTTAACAGGCTCCCACTCTGGTTCTATAGACTGATCTGTAGAAATATATATATATTCGTAGTCACTATTTAGGTAAAAAATGTGAAAATTCTTACATAATTTATTACATGCAGGTTTATTACCAGTATAAGTTATAAATGCAAATTCTTCACCATTTTCTGTCTTCAAGTCTACTACAGAATGAATTGTACATAACTTGACTTGACCACCAACTTGTGTGGCTGTCCAAGCAGAAAGATCCGGAGCTTGTTGTGAAACAGATGACGAAGCACTTGGAATGATGTTAACGGAAGAATTAGAAGTATTTGCGATTATACTTGCAGATTGATCCGTAGGGTCCATAAGGCGACGTAATACCCCTCGACTTATTTTAAAGAGAAACTAATTATTATATAATATAACGAATGTTTATTTTAATTATCAGGACATTTCTAAAAGCTTACCCTCTTGGATGCGAAGATCTTGCGGTTTGCCTTCTGGTTGGTGGCATTCTTTATGATTTAACAAATAATATACATAATATTGATAATGGCAATTCTTGAATTTATTTTTATAATTTTCTTGAAGTATGCGTCATTACATTTTAGATGATAGAGAAATTATCTGTAGGTAATCATATCAGCTTGCTGATATACAAATATGTCATCCATTTTTGATTCTTTATTTAAAGCATTGGATAATAATATTCATGATAGAATTCGAATCGATCTTATCGTCTATTGTATACATTATGAACATCAGATTGTTTCTTGTCTGATCTTTATATATTACCACATATGTAGTTAATGATTGTCTCTTTCATTGTGCTTACAATAATATTTTTTTATAGTTTCTTCTTATATAATCACACCCTCTTTATAAGGATCATTTTTCGAAAAATAATTGGTTTAAAATTTTATAATCGCATCCTTTTTGAGTGTTACCAAGTGTATGATTACAACTTTATTATCGTTTGGATTACTCATTAACGCTAACAAACCTACAGATAGTATGAAAAGTTGATGACCAATTCATTTCAATAAATTAAATACTCCAGGACTTGTTGACAGTAAATGTAGATTAAAAACACGGCATTTTTTTTTTAACCAGCATAATGATAAACAATATGTAGTACAATATCAAATTAAGCTTTTTTTTTTTTTTTTTTTGATCTTCCAGACGTTTTCATAAAAATTTTTTCATATTGATATTTGCATCTAGTTCTTTATGCACCCAAACTTGGCATATCATGAACATCCAAGTATGTATCGAACGTATTTTGATAAAACAAATCGAATAAAACACATTAAAATCTATTTATTTTATTAGGCTGTGTTGATATCATCCGCCGTCTCGAGGAATGCCATCAGTCAGGTTTTTTCAAAAAGTATTTCGGTGGATGTAATGGTATTAAATTAGAACTTAATGAATGTTTAACCGCAGAGGTTTGTGTTTAAACAACATTTAAATAAAATTATAAATTGTAACAATTTGTTGAATTACTTTTCATCTCGCATTATTTAAATTGGACATGTAAAGTATCAAATTAAAAGATTGAAAAATGCAGAAGAGGCAAAGAAAAGAAGGCAAAGAGTGGAAGCAATGTGGAAAGAGATAGATGAAATGAAGAAAAACCTGTGAATAATTTTTGTTCACATAATTTACAGTGTGTTATAAAAGTCTTTGGACAATTTTTTTAATAATTAAAGTTAAATAAAATTTATATAATTTTAAAATATACTTCTTAATATTTAATTAATAAACTTATTTTATATAATTTATAGTTGAAAATTACTTAGCTTACCTAGTGTATAAACACGGATATAATTTGTAAATAAAAATTTTTTTAAAAAAACAAAATTCTATTAAGTTAAAGCTATATTAAGGTAGGAGATAAGGCATAGCCTATACTAAAATTCTGCAAGGAAATATTTTTATTAGAACTTCAAAGGTGGTTTCATACATAAAATTTTGAGTATTATAAGCATCCGAGTTTTATACACTAGTGTACAAATGGTAATTGTCTTTATAACGAATTTATTTAAATTTTATAATTTTTGTTAAAAATTTAAATTTATGATTATTATTTTTTTTTTTTGTGTTAAGATTGATGTATTACCTATTTGAGTGTTGAAGGAATGCTCGATGAATACAAGTAGGTTTGCGTCAAATTTAATAATTTCGATCTTTCGCATCCTCGATTATGTATTTGCTGAATGCGAAAATCAAAGTTTTCACGTGTTGTAAAGGCTTTATGTTGTCTATTTGCCGACTTTTTACTAAAATGTTGGAAAACAAAGAACGAAAAGTGGAATAAGAAAAAAGAAAAATTGTTATCTTGTCAATTTTCATGACGATATGATGTAATTTATTTAGCTATCGTTATAGTAATTCGTTACTAAATCGATTACACATTTATTACATTATCGAATTTAAAATCAACTTAAATTGTTATTAATTCAATGATTATACAAAATTCGACTTAAATTGCTTTAAATTTCGGTCAACTTGGAATACATTCGAAATTCCATTTCAACCTAAATCTACATTATTTTCATTCCGACGTATGACATATATACTAAACATTTATTTGAGAGGTATCAAAATTTTATATAATTAACGCAAAAACAATTGTAAATTTGCAACATACAGTAATTTTAAAGTGAGTGCGTTTATTAATAAATCATAAAATTTTACAGTTTTGCCGTCTTTATTTTACAAATTAATACAAAAAAAAAAAAAAAATAATAATAATAAAATAACGCAAAAAATATAATTTTATTTATTTATTTTCAATGTATTGAATTAATGTGATGCAAGTTAGTCATCGAACAATTGTTCGATGTCCAGGCCACACCACGAGGAGGTTTGCATCTGTGACCCAAAAGGAGTTTAAATTGGGAATTTTAATAAAAGAATTCTAAATCTACGAAGAAAAGGATAAAACTTTTAAAAAAAGGTTATTCGATTATTTTTTTCAATTTATTTACCGATTTTTTTCAAAAAAAAAATCGTAATAATAAAATACGATATCGATAATGTACCATTATCGATAAAGTGATTCGCATTTTATGGGCCTCTGATAGCGAATCAATGGTAAACAGAGAGAAATACTTTGTGACAGAAATTATTGCTACTAATCGAAATATAGCATCATCATTTCACAGAAAGTCGGACCAGTTTATATAGACAATCTACGAAACTAGACTATATCACAATTTTCGCCATGCTACTAGGGTGAAATGTGCCATCATCATCTCTTAGATCGTTGGGTCCAATATATAAATGATCTAAGAGACTAGACTATATCACAAAAAAAAACCTTTCGCATGATCTCTTGTCACGTGTAACTCTACTAGTTTTCGATAGAAAACAGGCCATAAAAAAGGAAAACTTTGCGATATTCGGCGGCTTTCCAAGAACTTTCTCGGGAAATTTTATGCGTAAACATAGTAGGGAAGCTTAGAGCTTAGTTTAAACTACTAAGTTCAGAGGCCCTATCCATATTGAAAGGAGTACATCGCTCGAAGAATTTAGTCGCAAAGTTTAAAAAAACAAGTCTGAAGAAAACGATCTTTAAGGGGTAGTTTGTAAAGTGAAAGAGGACACTTAACAAACGAGAAGTTAAAAAAGCAATTACATAGGACGACCGATCAATAATTCACCCGGTTAGACCGGAACCATCGAAACGATCTAACTTCTCCAAACCTATGTAAAGGTGCGCATGATACAAAGAATAAAAATAATAAACAGAAAGTGAAAAAAGAAAAGATAAAAATCAAAACTTGAGAAAAATCAGATATATATTATGTTAATCAATCAGATAAACAATGCATCTCATTGGTCAATTATTAAGGAGGTGCAACATGTAGATCATCTAAGAAATGTAAACAAAAAAACGTACAACATAACTTTACTTAGTGTTTTGCTTAGTCGACTATAGCAAATAAAACATTTCATTCTGGTTTTAATAATGGCAGAATTGTTCAAATTAGTTTGGTAGATCGCGAGTTATTGGCAATTTTTTCCTTTATATGACTTTTACATATTGTCGGCATTCCAACATCATATAAAAGTAATAGTAATTCTCCGCCGATTTTTTACTATGAATGCATAACTAATAATATTTTGCACTATCTAAATTAGCACCTAATGATTTATTTATTATAAATCTTTATATTTGCCCATCATACGTCTTCATTAGAAAAAATACATTATTTAAATCGATTTATTTAATCTAAAAGTAAATCTGGATGATTTGCATATCTTTTTATTATGTAATAAATTTCTCCACGATTTCTTAGTGTGTTTGCACTATTTTAACCGATTTTTAATGATTCATTTAGATCTGTTAATAAGTCCTCATATTATTTATCATGTAAGTTTGTACAATATGAAGTACTACAAATTTTTTAACACTTATATAATATGATTATATAGTCATTTTGATCCAAAATCCATAGCAATTGAGTTTTAATGGCCCAAACAAATATTTATTCATACCAATGCTAATAAGCCAGTTTTTATGCTAATAGTCGATTAAGCCGATATTTTAGAAAATCGACAGACTTAATTGACAAGTCGGCTAAGTCGACTAATGCTATATCAACTTGAAACACTACAGGTTAGCCTACCCCAAAACGTTGCAAGGAGTTTTTTTTAAGATGTTAAATTGCGATCTGATTGGTTAATCCTGTAATCACATTGCGGCATCTTCGCTACTGCGACACTATAGTTGGTGGTAGAATTAATTCGGCAAATCAATACGGTTACGGCATGTGCCGTATTATTTGCCGTAATTCCGTAATGCCATAAAGTCGTTGTATCTAAATATTGTAATGCTTTGTGTTAAAATTATAGTTGTTAGACAAAACCTTTTCGCATGATGATGAAAGGAGAAACCTAAACTCAGAAAGACAAAATCACCGGCGAAAGGTGAAATCAAAATTCATCCGACGAAAAACGAAACCCTAGTGCGCTCGCCAAAAAATCAAGTTTTTGAATATGGATAAAGCTGAGCAAGCTAAGCTATAGTATAATGTATATTTTTGACTTCGTGAATGTTATTAATAAAAATTCAAAAATCAAAACTACAATTTTTATTTTTTATTTTTTTTTTTAAAAAAAAATAATTTAATATTTGAGGCTTTTTTAATAATGCTGATGATGTTATTGGTTTTTTCATCGTTATAGTAAATTTACTATATAGATTCAAAAAATTTTTCGCAAACAATTAAAACACGGCATTAAGGTTTAATATCACAATTCAAGTTAATAATATAAGATTTGTTACAGTAAGCAATTTCTAGTAAGTAACGGGGATTCTATAGAATACCCCGTATCCACAGTTATATTCATTAATAACTAGATTATTCCATGGGTACAACGTAACAACCTGTGCAACACATTATCAATTTTTCTTTTCAAGAGCAGAAAAAATCTCTCATTCAAAGAATACTAACAATTATTTATTAACTATTAAATAAAGAAAATAAAACTATTATCACCAGAACAATTGCCATGACCATTATGTGAACCATCGTCAGGACCGTTACCTGCTCCATTTCGCATAAAACATAACTGGAATCACAAAAAAGACCATTACTACAATACTAAACATTTCATTGAGTCAATCAAATGATAAAGAAATTATAATTATTATCTAAAAAAGAACTAGTTCTTTATCAAATAACATATGACAATTTAAAAAACTTAAATAAAATCGTTCCTTGTACACGACAATTCAAATCTAAATAAAGTTCATTCTAGCGCATGACAATTTAAAAGACTGAAATCTAATAAATCTTTTTCTAGTATATGACAATTTAAAGAACCCAAATAAAGTTTTCCTAGTACATGACAATTTAAAGACTGAAACTTAATAAAGTTCTTTCTAGCACACAGGACTTAAATAAAGTTTTTCCTAGCACAAAACAGTTTAAAAGACTGAAAACTAATAAAGTTCTTTCTAGCATATAACAATTCAAAAGACCGAAAGCTAAATAAAATTCTTTCTAGTACACAAAGTTTAAAGCACTTAAACCTACATAGCACGATGATTTATCACCAGGTTGTTCACATCGGTCTATATTAATCATGTAATTTTCATATAGACCGATGAAAATAACTTTGTCAAAAAAGCACGAGTTGTTACATAGTACCCAGTTTTCCAAAATTTATGAAAACAGCTGTAATCGAAACGATCGAAAAATCATTTGACAATTATTTCGGATGTCCACAGATAATGATAATAGCTATAATGAGGAATATACTAGCACAGCATTAGAGTTCATTAAAAACTATATAATTTTTACATTATATAATTATAGTTAGTTAGCTTTACAGCTGTTTTCATAAATTCCGGGACATCCGGCAAAAATTGACTGACCGAATACGACTATAGTTGGTGGTAGAATTAATTTTACAAATTAATACGGTTGGTCTTAAACGATTATCGTGATTTATTTTTTTGGCCAATTAGACCATTCTATAAGTCATTATTTGAGAACAGCTAATTGATCAGATATGGCTTAGATCATATGGGCTAGGTGCTGAAAAAAGGGACCAAATTGACAAAAAATAGATTTTGCGAAAAATTGATTCTTAAATTATATTAACTTATAGAAAAATACAGATTTCAA